AGGATCCCGCACTGGGGCCCATGGGGCTGCCACCCTGGCTGGAGGGCTGCACCAGCGTCAGACGGTGGTCGGGGGATTTGGCTGCTGCAATTGGCTGAGAGGTGGCGGTTAAGCTGGCGAAGGGGTTGTGGACACGTGACTGGGTGGACATCATTAAGACTTCCATCAGGATCTGACCGATCAGGTCTTTGAAGTCAGAGTATACTAGAAGGAGGAGGAAAAGAGGAAAAAAAAAACAGTCAAGTTATCAAATGCAGGAATTGGTCAGTCGTACACTAAAGTTTGCACAGGGTGCAAGGTGTTCCAGCTTGTTATGGAGAGATAATGATGGTATGCAGTGACATACCATTTTTAGGGCTCTGGTGAAACTCTGCAGCCAGTGAAGGGAGAAAGATGACATCTCTATCCTGCTCCTTCCACGATACGCGGAGGATCTTACAAATGAGCTGCAGAGCCTGTTCTTCTGAGACATCTGAGTTTGCAGAGGTTTCCTGATGTGTAAAAATAAAGAAACAACAGTGAGGGTTTGATCACAATCTAGAGCCATTTAGACAGTAAATGCCAAATGCACGAGCGTAACTCGAAATGACTCGTCTCATAACTTTCACGATACTCATTATCTCTTGGTCACACACTCAGTCAGATGTGTATCAATAAACTGAAATAAATGAAAATGAAACCAAAGATAGCGTGGAAAGTCCCTAATTACCATCCTGTTACACTGTTTTTTTTAACTCATTTAAAGACTTACTTGATCTCAAGATGGGACTGGTCAAGGTCAAGTAGGCCATGTAATTAAAGATAAAAACATGTCTCATTTAATATTCACTGCTGCGGTTTACCTTTTCTGTCAAGTTCCTCTTCTCCCTGCGATCGCTGTCCTCCACCTCCATGTTCTCTATCCCTGAGTCCACATCCACCTGGGACATGCTGGAAAAAGACAGAAAAGCACAGTTAGTACGTCTCTACGTCCCTAAACAGACCATGCTGACACTCAAACCTCGACGGTTCACATGAGGTATCTCATCTGCCTCATCTCTTTTACAACAAACTTCATAGCCGGATCTTGCAAGAGCAAAACATGTGGCCATGCTCCAAAACCTTTATTTTCATTCATGTTTGCTACAAACAATCAGAAGAAGACAATCCCTTTCTGAAGTAACTTCAAAAAGAAACAGGGTGCCCTTGAGTATTGTTCCACATTTATATAAGAAACAACCTGTGACATTGGACTCTATTGTAACTGAGATAATTCAAGATGACCACAACCTCTGTTCTCTACGATAATGAAAACTATATATTTTAAGTATATTTTCAAAAGCCTTTGAGCTGGGTGGTACTAAATACTAAACTCTTACCTCTTTTCACAGGAGGCAGTATCAATGTCCATACTCTGCGATCGGGACAGACTCTGGGATTGAGTCTCAAGGCTGTTGGAGGGTGAGCTGGAGAGGGAGCTCACACCCTCGCTGCTCTGACTACCATATGCCACCCCTGCAAAATCAAAACACCACAACTGAGCATCTTTGAAGCACAAAAAAATAAAAATAAATATCAGATGTGTCATAATATTTTGATTTGAGTATTTTGCCTATTAGTTCTGGAATTGGTGTTATTTTGTGGGCCTGGCTTAAAGCTAGAGTGTCAGGGTTTAAGTTTATTTGCTTTTCTGTTTTTTAAAGTCTACACTGCTTGAATCTCTGTTGTCAAAACCCCCCACACTTTGGAGAGACTGACCACAGGAGATACAGTTAGCAGAGACAGTTTAATTTTCCAGGTCTCCTCTAGAAACTAATCTATTATAGCTCATTTATATTAGTGTACTTACAACCTGTGCAGCCTGGGACTTTAGTCTGTTGTTTCCTCTAATGTTATTTTTATGTTATATTCATTATGCTATGATGACTGATTTAGTTCGTATAATATGGTATCACACTTTTAATAAAGTTTGTTTAAAAGATTTGTTTTTGTCACCATTTGCAATTAACTTTCATACCTCAACACTAGGAACATTATACACACACACACACACACACACACACACACACGAATACACAGCTATTTATAGTTTTATATTTTATGTCAGAACTATTGTTTATGGAAGAACCAATTATTTAACCACACTGCAAAGGAGCAGATTGGTGTTTTTCAGATCACCTATCCTGATTAGTATAAAAGGAGGTACAAATTTTAACCAAATCTTAAAAAAGTACCACTGGCCCTACAAGCACTCAAAAGAAGCCTTGAACAGCTACACCATGAAATCCCAACAAAACCAACAAGAGATCCCAGTAAAGTCACCAGATGCATACATGGCTGGCTCACCAGTGTATTTTCTAGAGCAGTTCAGGAAGCATCAATTCTCACTCTGTACAGTGAGCCTACAGAAGTGCCCCTCAAACAGGGTCACTGTGGATCACAACACGCTGCTGCTGTTTGTGTTGATGTCATTCAGGGTGTATGACGGGTTGTTGCTGCTCAAATATCAAGGTCACACATATAATGGCCCCTTTCAGTAATGCACTCACACTCAAACAAACAAGGTTGTTTATCGTTCAAGCCTCGGAGACAATGTACCACAGGCACGTTTGAGCAGGATGATAGAGTTAACAACAATAACTCTGTGGTGACAACCGGAACAAGCTGACTGGATCCTGACCTCGTGTTAACATCAAACCTCAAACCACAAGATTTCACTTAAAGCATTGCCTGCAATAACAATAATTAATACACCTCAAAACCTGAACATCTCACTCAGTTCTTACCAGAGGTGCCCATGGGGGATGTGGCGGGGGTACCACTGTGGACATTGAGCCCCAATGATTGAGAGGCAGCTGGTGGCAGGGGCTGGGGTACGGCACCTGAGGGTCCAGGGAGGGGTCCAGGGGGGGTCTCTCTCTGTGGTGATGTCAGGGGTGTGCTGAGAGGGGTGCTAGGCTGTGATGTCTGTCCACCTGCCAGTCGTGCCAGTCGCCTTCTACGAATCTTGAATGAATACACAAGACGATTCACACAGTGGCTAAAAGTGCGATGAAAGCTCACTCTACAGCCCCATGTAATGTAAGTTTGTATTATAACAAGGCTGTTGCTTGTGCACATAGATAATTAAATAATCAGCAGTCTTTATTTCGGGATAAGTGTTCGGCACAATCAGCCTGGACAAAATGAGAAACGTGATAAGTCCATTTTTATTACTCATCTTTGGTTCTTAGCTACAGACAATGTACACACAATCAGTGATCGGTTTTCATTCATCGGTTATGAAGTCACACAGGCTTAAATCTAAAAGACAGGCCTTATCGGATGGATACATTATAACCTACATTAGGAACAAAGTCAGAGGAGAGCTCTAATCGTGCAACTCAGCTGAGGACTGACTATAGTAAAGCAGCACACTCGGTCCCGATTTGATCGAGTAGCTAAATGCGGTTATAGAAGGTGGCAAAGGAATAATATTTAATAAAATGTTTAGTGGGGTGCGAGGGGAACAGCTCAAGAGTCCACTCAGTCGGCCCACAGTTGATTGCACAATGGTGGCCCGGTGTTTTTTATGCTGAGTCGTCTCACAGGCTAATTTTTGTCTGTTAGCAAAACAACGTTAGCAGCTGTCAGCTAGCTCGCCGCAAGAAGAAACGCTAAATGAAGCCGAGTAAACAAAACATAACGTAACGTGACAAAGCACGACGAGTGGAAAGCGTCTGCCAAATGAAAACAATACACGAACGTAGTTGTTTAACGTGGAATCGATGCTATGCACAGCTTCTAGCATTACGTTAGCCGGCTAGCATTGTGCCCCGGCTACATTAAATGAACGTTACCAGCAGTTACAGTGACAGAAACACACGAACTACTCTAGTTCCTTCACCGGACACATGGGCACACTCTCTCTAAATACACATGCTGTGGGTCGGGTCGGGTAACACGCACTTATTTGTGCGGATGTTTAACTAAATGTGTTTTTATATCGCGGATGCATTTCTTCTTTTTAGAGTAGGCTAGCCTCTAAGCTAGGTTAGCGTTTAGCAGCAAGAGCCTTTGAAATGAGGTCCGACGTAAAGGAAGACATTTGTAAACTCTCGACTGTAACGTTAGCAAAACGGGAGCTGCTTCAATTCTCAGACACTCATTTGGAGCTGTTTTTTATTATTTTCTCCCATTGTCACCTTACCTCATCTGCGCTCAGCTCCTCCATCGCAGCTAAGTTAGCTATCTATTTCACTTTGGACTGCTTTAATGTGAGCCAGCCAGAGCCAGCCAGCCTCTATCAGAGCTAAATATGCATAGTCTAACTCCTTCAACTAATGTGTGTCGGTCTGGATTGTCGTCAAGATAAAAACTACGACACCGGTTTGCGGAGGGTGGCAAGATACAGATCCTCCAAAAAAAAAGTCTGCCGTTCGCTAGTTTTCTACCAAGAATGAAACAAAAAGAAAAGTAGCTGGCTATTATACGTCAAAATACAGCGGCGGCCATTTTGGTTCTACACAAGGTCACGTGACTTAAGAGCCTACTGGAGGAGGTGTGAGGCTTCAGTGTGTCGCACAGATAATTATATTTCACTTGGTTGTGTGTGTTTTTGTGTCAGTTTTGATGGTTTGCAGTGCTTCATCGTGGTCTCATCAGCTGCTCCGAGTTAATTTAGATTCATGCGTGTGTTTCCTAAACAGCACACCCTGTAGTTATTTACTCAACTGCATGCACGGTCTGTGGGGCACAAGGTCACAACAAAGAGGTTTTATTGGACTCTTCAGCTGTTGCTGGAGGTTAGTACCAGTCAAGGCTCTAGTTAGCTATAGATGTCAGATTACCTACAGTATACACCGTCAGGCCCCATTGTGTTATATCACAGATTTATTATATCACAGTTCCTGCCTCATCATCATCAGTGGGCTGAATGACGACACAGGTCAGATCTATGAGTGAGCACACAATCAGAACAATAAGTTTGTTTATTTTAGTAAGGATAGAATGACAAGAAGGAATGATTGAACAACAAAATATGCCACTTCAGAACCCATTTTATTATACAAAATGCACACAAAACAGTCTTCCAAACACCCTACACCCCACTTTCTGTTGTACATCGGGTATACATGTATTTCCATGAATGAGGTTTTTTATTTTTTTCAAAATAGCTCAACCAAATGTCAGATGGACAGCACAAGCCAGTGCAAAGAAGGTGTGGTATCTGGAATTATCAGACAATAGATATTTAATGATGATGATATTTAAACAAAAAGTTTGCACCAAACTGCATAGACACATTCTTTTTCAGCCAGTTGAAAGGAGACAAAAATGGGCTTGATGTTTAGTATTTTATTTTGTCTGAGCCCAAGCACCACTACACTGCAGACCAGTGTAGACCAGTATCTGACAAAACTAATGCGCTGATGCCATCTTGTGGTGGTAATCCGTACCGTGACAGGAAGGACATCTGAGTCACTACAGAGAACATACCACAAACCTTAAGCGTGGTTTTGTCAGTAAGGGTTTAGAGCGGTGGATTTAACACAAGATGTCTTTCATCACAGATTATCTTCTCCAGAAATAGAACTTTTATTCCTCTTCACTCATTCACTTTCTTCTTAAAAATCTGCTTGCAGACTTCTCCTTCACAGTACAGCTCCTGAGGGGAAATAAGTCACAGATCTTAAATAAAATGTCATTAAAATGTGAGATAAGAATATAAGTGAGATAAAGTCAGTCAATTTAGTTTTGTGCATTATGTGAAATAAATAGGATTAAATGGTACATATTCATATTCTTACAAGATGTAGCTTGTCCTCTTCAATCCAGTGAGCCCAACCCCGGTTCTTCTTCTCTCCAGTCTGTTCACACACCAGTTTGTTTCCCTCCCATGTCACCAGTGACTGCGCAGATCAGAGCAGCAAAGAGAAAATAAATCACAACACAGATCAGTTTTAGAATCACAAAGAAAGTAAAAAAAAATATATATATAAAACATATAGCACGGTCCAGAAAACACTTGCAGTCACTACACTTTTTAAAAATTTGAGCACAATCTGCCATTAGCCATTCATCTTCACCTTGACATGTCTGTTGTCCAGCCCCTTGGTAAACTCTGGAAACTCCTGTCCCACTCTGAAGGGGATGGTGTAGTTTCGGAAGGTGCTGGAGGTTTTGATGGTGTACTGGTCCCCCTTCTGCTCAATCACCTTTCTCAGCTTCAGCTTCAGAGCAATCTTTCGTAAGCAAGGGCTGATACCTGGAACGACAGAAATGGGTTTTAACTGAATGTACACAGCACAAATCTATCTGGTAGACAAATGTACCCACAAGTTGTGAACACATTCTCTCCCCCACACAGTCCCATGCATACTATGAATAGCACTGCTACAAAATCACAGCCAAATGCTTTATGTGTTTCACTCTTAGTGCTCTATTATATAATGTTGTGTCTGCAGGCATTTTAGAGCACAATTAAAATAAGTGCAATATAAATGCAGACATCCCAAATCATTCATCAGAGATTTAATATCTGACAACATTGTTGGATTAAAACAAAGACGAGACTTACCCAGTGCAATCATGTAGCCTTCCAAGTTGACATTGCTGATGATGTCCCATGTACCACAAAGGCTGGCTGGCATTTTGATTACCTTTTTCTTCTTTTAAGATGTGTGTGAATAAAATGCGATGCTCAACCTGCTGGCCTGATGAGGAGCTCAGAGAAGAACTGCTGTTTTGTGAGAAATCTGGAGGTATAAAAGTAGGTGTTGCCCTAACCTCATTCGCTGTCACCTGAAGGCCATGTGAGGATAAGGCGAGGTGATCACTCATCACTGCCACTGTGCAAGAGCAAAGCCAGACGGGTCAGACTGGTCTCACTGCACTGTTCACTTACAAATAAACACTTAAAAATTTCCCTCAGGTGTCACAATAATTGCACACAAATAAACATAAACACAAGGACAAATATGTTGACATTTATGTTTGGAGGATGGCTTTTTCCATTAAGGTTAATTATGATCCTTTGTGTTTGGTATTTTATTTTTTTCTAAACGCAGTGGGTAGATGTGCATACAGTGTAGCTTTCTGCAACAAAACTTTAGCAATAAAAAAGAAAATAACATACACAACTACACTAACTACACTATACACTTATGGATAAGAAAATACTTGTTTTTTTTGTTGAGGTTAACAATATCTGTGTAATACAAGTCTATTCTTCCATTGAGCTAATCTAACTGTGGAATAACCGCAAAGCAAACTGGAGTCAAACACCTGCTGTTTGTATGGAGATGTTATAAAAAATGACACACCTTTCTGGTAAATACGCTGGTATGCAGCGTAGAAGCAATTGATGCAACTTTCAGTTTAAAAGAAAATAAAAACCATGGAGCTCGTCCAAACATGAGACAAGGTACTTGTTGTCCTTATGACATCAACTAAGCAGAAAGCAGGTTAACAGCTGCAAGATGTAATGTGGAAAAACCTTGTCGGGGTTGTTTTCCATCCAAGACTACACATTATTGACAGACATTAATCAACATTTCCACACCATAAGCATGATTTTGTGATGTAATGAGCCACAGTCTTAACCCAGTTACTTTACACTGGGCCTTTTAAGTCTGAATGATGGATTTAGCTTTTTGATTTAATCAAATGCCTTCATTGCAACATTTAAAGTAAATGAATTAGGCACCAACTCTGATACTAATGTGCTGTAAGCAGTTATACTTTCATTTCAGCACACTGCTTTCACAATGAGTCTTTAGTTTGGCTACACTTATTGTTATGTATGTTATTTCAGCCATTATCCTCTTTCAGTGATGATTACAGGAAAGATGAGTTAACCCCCTTCGTGGCAAACAGAATTTTAATCAAATAGCAAAGGTGTCAATTTGTCACTTTCTTAACTGAAGATGTTAGCAGTTTCTTTTCTGTGAAACAATAGCATTCTAACAGCAATGAAAAGCTCCCATAGTGGAAAACAAAGAGTTGTTTATTTCATTTACATTCAATACAAATCAGACTTTCATTTTTAAATCTGCAGCACTAAGTAAACATGTTTAAAACACGTTATATTGCCTGCTTTTGCCTGAAGGAGTGAATGGGAAAAAATCCTGTTCTCTTACAAAAAAATGTGAGTTAAGGAGTATATTGAAGCAAGTGGGGAAAAAATGTGGTAATGTCAGTAAAACAATTAAAATGTATTTGTTCCTGATCATAGTTCATGTAATACCAAACATACAGTATGCTGTCTACTTCACACAAAATTGTGAATCCCTAGTTTATTTCTAGTAATGCAGTTTAGATGACCTCCCAGTCGGTTGAACTGCTGCTTTCAGTTTTTGACTACTGTATATTTCCATACACACACACACACACAAGCTAGTTTATAGTGAAGTGAAACTGTTCCTAAATCACGTTTCTCTGAAATGCCTATGTAGGACAACCTTATAAAAACACACATTATTAGAAACAACTATTCTGTAGAGTAGGCACTGGTGGAAGCTTAACGAAACCCTATGAAATGTGTCTAGTTTGTTGTAAATTCACAGTAAACCCACAGTTTACTTCGTGTAGACAGCTTCTGTTTCCGCAGCAGTAAACTTCTTCAGCTCGAGGAGGCACCCGTGTTTCTCTGAAGGGGTGCGAGAACCACGTCTGCATTTTTCCGCTCGGTCTCAGCACTGTAGAGGTCGTTCTCTTGTATGTAGTGAACCACACTGTCTGGCAGCAGGTACCTGACGCTCCGGCCTCTGCGCAGCGCCCGGCGCACGTGAGTGGCTGAGATCTCGTTGGTCACCCATTCGTGGACCACTTGGATGTTCTTGCGATACTTCCACAGCATGTCCGATTGGTGGATGAACTTGTGGGGGTCGTTGCCGCTGCGGGTGATGCAAACCAAACCGTAGCGACCCACAATCTCAGCGATATCTTCCTGCTTCCACATGTTGGGGATCCCGAAGGACTCCAGGACGTCAGCTCCACACAGCAACATGAGCTGAAGGCCGTCTGAGCATGCAGAGAGAAAAGAGTTCTTAATCTAATTTGTATGTCTTAACAAAGTGTTTAAAAGCACTGTTTCTTAACTGGGACTCACATTTTCCTGTGGCCAATAATCGCTAGTCACTTAGGACAACATAGAATTCAAACCCAAAGCCTTTTTTTTTTTTTTTTAGATTTCCATGAACTTTTTTATAAACATTCTCCCATTTTTTTATATTTACGGCATGCTCTGCCGATCTTATGAATAAAAATACTCATCAACCTGAATAACTGTGTTTACACACAAAATAATTTAGGTCTGTGAATGTCTTCACACAGACATTTGTGGAATCATTTCTGTCGAAACAGAAGTCAGAAATCAGAAAGCTAAGCATTTATATTAGACTTTTTTATGAGATAATCAAACACAGGAGATTGAAATTGAATTTGAAAGGAGAGGAGAATATAACATTTCGAGAATGGTAAGGTAAAACAACAAGAAACATTAAGTTTGAGCCTTCTCATAAAGAATAATGTAAAAAGGGACGTTACAGATGTCTCTAATCTCAGTGTATAGTTTAGTTAAATTATGATGGAGGTCTTTGCTCTCTGTTAGTGGGCAGTGCTGGGAAAACCTTCAGCTAGATCAATCAGTGCTCTGCTGACTCTTAAAACACACTGTAATTAAGTGTTGAAAATAGTTCTGATTTACTAACATCTTATTGACTCTTGGCACAGCGTTCACTTCTCCTGCTCATATATATAATTCTGTGCAGTGCAAAGATTCCCACGTTATAAACCTCTTCTCACTAATATGAAGAATGTCGTAACAAACCTGGCCGGTATGTTCACTATTTGTGTCCCTAACGTTCTAAGGCTTGTGACTTGCTGTCTGACACCTCCCCTGTCTTTACTGTAGGTGGTGTGATTGGGTGTCACCTACCACACAGCTCTACACCACACCTTTGAACCATTGTCTCCTGTTATGAGTTAAACTGAATACAGTAAATGATGAATACAGTGGAAGCAGGATCCAACTTGTCAGGGATCAGGGATCGGACAAGGGAGGGGTTGACTGAGAGAACAATACTTAAGTTACACAATCGTACACATGACTTACCTCTCTTTTTGTGATGAGATGAACCTTCAAAATAATTCTCCTGTATACGTCTCTTTTTGGCGTACTTGACTGTGTCCACATCATCATTGTTCTGCTCTGCCGCAAGCAGTTCGTCATAGTGATACCTACGCGGATACAGACAAAATTATTCTAACATTAAAACATTGAGGGAAATACCTGTCATATTGTCAGTATTCACCAACACACTTCCTTTTTATGTCATACGGCGGCTGTGGATAAGGGTTTTGGGAAATTAAACGGCAAAGAAATGCCTTCCTTATGTCTCTGTGAAAACTTCAATCAAATTTCAACTTCATTTGTTTGGAACTTACAGTTTTTGCGATTTTTATTTACCATCGACATCAAATAATATATTTTTTTTAAATATCAAATTATAAAATTACAATTCAGTGATTTCTTTGTTCAGTAAAATCCCTGTTCCTCAGTAGGCAATAGACTTTAATGTGGTATTGACTGAAACACTACAATCCACAGTTCAAACAGGTTTTCTCCTCTTTAACAGGGACAGTTAGTCTAAACCAGCGGTCACCAACCTTTTTGAAA